CAACTTATATCGGATCAAGGTAATATATTTCAGTTGATAAAATGACGTCATTCGTCCGTATGATCGAATACCCACCAAGACCGAATGTAAGGTCGCCGCCTCAACCCACAAGCCTCGTTTCGGCACACAAGACGAATCTTTAGAATATTTAATACCTCAATTCGGGTGATTTTAGAAACTAATTGTTCCTAGAATTTGCAAATTGATGCAGCGTCATGCAATAACAGTATTTGCACGAATTCGAGATTGTTTAGGTTATATCGTCTTTAAAAGAGTTTTATTACGCTTTCGTTTTGTTTCACGAAATGGTTATTTGTTATTATGACGTGTTGTCTTGGATGGAAATTACGGTGGGGAGAGGGGGACATCGCCGAGTGGCATAGCACTCATCGCGGTCGACGACTCGCGCAGGCGTTGGGGCAGTCCTGCCATGTAAATGCGTATTTCTAAGGAAAAATCACTTAATTAAATGAGTCAGACATAAATCTTGTTTTTAATTGAGAAGAAACTGAATACTATACCAATATTGATTTGATATTACATTATCCCACCTATGTAAAGCGTAGGCAATTTAATAAGTCTCTTAATGGAAGCTAAAATAATCTAATGATATACCTATTTATAAATAGGTATATCATATATATCGTATGTAAGTCTGTACGGTATGAGTCACTTTTAACGGTATATTGGAAAATTTTAAATAGAATATAAAACAGTAATTTTCATAAAAGACTAACAGCAACAAACAATTATATGCCCATATTTCGCGTACACAACAATTTTTAGAATGATATATTGGGTCACATCTTATATATTTTAATAATATTGTTAACGCACCTACACTACAATTTAAGGCCATTGACTCTAACATATTTCGCCATCAATTGCTATGTTATGAAATAACTGTGTTTATTTGGACTTGAAAATAATAATTCCATATAAGAAGTCAATTTGCAATTAAATTGAAAACTCTTCTGGATACACTCTAATTCGGATACACAAAACGATTTATTGTTGAAAATACACACCATCACATTCCACGTAATTATGGTGCATTTTTATATTTATTGGATGCTTAAAAGGCAAATGCTAGATATTACCCTGCTGGTACTTATACATAGTTTATATTGCAGCCTCGAGGCGGCCTTTGCGCAGGATTTCCGGCAGAATGCACGCCAAACTCAGATAAAGAGCTAAGGTAGGGCCTATTCTCCACGTTGTTTATCATTGAGCACATCGTTAATTGTTTTTGGAAATCTCTATTAATATTATATAGAGGAAAAAATTGCATTGTTTGCATTCAATAAGTTCCGAAAACAAGATATTGATTTTAAAAATTCTTTTACCTACAGGAAGATACGCGGGCGACAAAGGCAATAATGTACGCGGGCGTCTATATTTATGAACATAATATGATTATAATATATTTATGAACAGTGCTCCTTTATCACATTAGTGTAAGATTCTAATAAATTTATATATAAGCGATTCTAAATTGTAAATCGGTGATTTTAGTCCATACTTGTTAGTTTGTCAATGATTTTTAGATGTTGTCATATCTATACGACGTCATCGTCCCGTTTCAATGAATAAAAAAAATCACCTTGAAATGTATTTTTATTTTTAATATCTCAACAGACGGAAGGCGTTTTTTTTAATAACAATAGGAATAGTGTTGCGGAATTCAAGTGCCAATGTTCCAAATTAACTCACTCGCTATCGCTCTCAACCTATTCTACTCGAATACCTACCAGGATCGTTTATTTTTCAATTAATATTTAATGGTCGCTACCCACTTTTGAAATTGGAAGAAAAAATATTTATTTTTAAGAGTTTATTAATACCTAAAATGAGTGTTACGAAAAAGTTTTGGGGAAATATATTAAATAACAATAACTATTGATGCTCTAAATTAAAAGAAAAGAAAAGCAAAAAGAAAAAAATATATATTAGACTTGCCTTATTGGAATTTGGGTTTCTGCCAATAATTCTGAACTAACAACATAAAGCATTGCTTCTGCTCTTCCTAATTTATATATTATTTGTTGTATGCATTCTTGCATCTATGGAATACCCCTCTCAGCAATATTCTCAACAAATCTCATGTTGAATATTTCTTTAGCCGATTTGAAACATTCTTCCTCTTCTAACAGCTCAGAATCTTTTTGAACAAATTCTAAAGAAATTTTCAGTGATTTTGTCTTTAAAGAAATTTTAAAGCATAGTGTTTGCTGATGTAAAACTTTCAACTCTATTTACGATTATTTGCATCATATTTAAAGATTGCCTTTTACGAATTGTTTATCGTCACTAAAGTTTTCACAGCTAAAATCATATTACGTTTTCATTCTATAGAAACAAGTTTGTTAAAAAATCTAAAGCAAATATACTGAAGATGGTCTTACTATTCTTTCAGGACGACTTTGGTTACAATTGTTTTATATATTTTTAAATCAAACAAATATTTTACTGACAAATCTTTCATTGGCCGAGTGCATATGAGCTACTGGCACTGTAAACCAGTATTTTGCGTAAACGACGAAACAATATACAAATGTCTGTAACGCCCTTTGCTTGCTTAATTGTGATTTTAAACTTAAATTTAAAAAAAAATTTTCATCATCACGCACGAATTACATATAATTGACAATTATGTAGAAATGTTTATTTAGACTTTCAACCGAAATTGCTACACCTAAAGGTAACTAAATTCTTATGGTCTTTATGTATTGTAACAACTGTATGTTTGCAAATAAACTTTTGAATTTGGGTTTGACTTTTCTCAGCAAAAGCCATGATATTTTCTCGACGCACTTCCTGATACCAAGATTAGTAGTTGATCTACTATTTAATGTCCATTTATGTCCTTTTTTAGAAATACAAATACAAGCATAAAGCTAAAGTAATCTCATTTACAATCAAACACAATTACCTTAATTCACAACGATAGCGTCACTAGATAATAAGGGTATAAAAGAGCAATAGATTGTTTATTTATTTTGTGAGTATCTACTGAGGTATAATATATGTACATGTGCAAAATAAAAAGAAAATGAGGTGCCTACAAAGTTACGGTTATTTTATGGTCGAAATGTTGTATAAGTAAAATATAAAATCGCTCCTCGTGCAAATTTTAAAGTAATTCTTTTTTTAGTGGTGGTAGCGACCTTTTATTATTAATTAAAATATCCAAAATTTAAAACAAATTATTGTTTTGATAGATAGAACCATAGTGTGGGTTGAGAGTTAGAAAAATTAAAACTTGATTTTTATGAATCACCCTAATACGTATGTATAGTGTCGCACATTACGTTGTAAGAATATTTTATATTTAACTTGGTATCAAGAAATGAAGGTTTAAAATAAATTGAAAAATGTTGTTATACTTAAATTGTGCTAAATACCAATTTTAGTCTAAAGATTTCTCGATTTAGTCTAAAGAGTCTATTTGACACGAAGTTAAATCAGATTAATAGTTAAATGACAAAATTTAACATAAAAAAAATTATATGCTAATTCAATAATCCTTGTGGTTTTTGTTTAAAGTATTTAGTATGTATAATTTACGTGTTAATTCACAAGTATGTAATGGATAAAACCAGCAGTTTACAAATCCGTCTTATAAATACTAATATTATAAAGAGGTGGTTTCTAAGTTTGTTTATTTATATTGTTTGCCTATGAGAAGCTACATCATATGGTGCTACAGGCTATAATTTAAACGGGCAAAATCGCGGGAAAACAGCTAGTATAGATGTATAAACAGGCATGATATGTGAAAGTACCAGTACCTAAACGTTAGAGTTAGGTCAAATAACACCGACTTTCAGTTTTCAAAGATAATTAATAGGAAACAATCGACGCCACTCTTAGTTTCCTCACGTCCTAACCACTTTCACCGTTCGACAGCTGAATCGAGATCGCCCACCATTGTCTGCAAATTACATATATTGCCTTCCTACATCACTTTTGTTTCATCTCACGCAATCCTACGTTTTGCCTAATGGATGTCTGGCATGGACACAATTTCCTATATTTCTCATATTTTATAGACTAAGTACTGTTATTTTGTTTTTTAAGTTATAAAGAACATGCCGGTAGAGCTTACGAATAGAACCGAATAAGTTTAATGTTTTAAGCAACAGTTTAATTTTCTATTATTATTTATTCTGATAGGTTGAACGAATTTGGTTGAAACACACACATGTGGAGACATTCATTTGTTTGGGCCGCTAAAGATTCATCAACGCTACAATAATTCTTCACGAAACACGCATAATTTAAGAGGTACATATAAATTCTACAATAGTTTCTTATAAATTAAGAATATAAATAGTTCATTTCTTTAAGAATAACCAAAGGAACATACCTATAGATAGAAAAAGTAATCAAGCAAAAGACATTAACGCACATTTTTATTATAGAAGCTCAGTAAACACGCGACATATTAATAATTTATCAATTATTAACATTTGATGATTTATGTTAAACGATAAAAAAGATAAAATCATCAGTATCTATGGATTTTGTAGATTTTTATAATACAAAACCTGAGGAATAAAAATGCTCGAAGTCTGCACGAACTGGTTTGACAGGGCATTTCTTTCTCGACATTGAACTTTACCTTTACGATACACAAGTTCCAATTTTGTTAAACGTTTACATACAAAACTAAAGCTCGCATGACCATGTTGCTTTATAGCCGTAAAAGGAAATGACAACTTTATTGTTTTGGCAATGACTGCTTGCTAAAGCCGCGTTAAGCGGTTCCATATTAATAATCCATAGAAAGGTGATATCATACTTTGGTGACTTATAAAAATTGGATACAATATTAAAGAAAAAGACTGAAATATACAATAATAAAACTGTTTGTCTTTGTGATAGTTCCAAAGATTATAATAGTTTATATAATGAGTCAAACTTATCTAATACAGGTTGGTTATAAGGTCTTTAATCTATACATAAATGAATCTCGGCTAAGTCTAGAATAACCTTACCTTTCCATATTCGGCAGTTCCAGCCCACTCTCGCCGCCATTGACCCGCGAGTTCCATAGCTTCCATCACTGCAGCTACACTCGGGAACACTGAAGCTTTCGTTAAAGCCTTTCACGTTCGCTCACCGCGCTAGTTCGCAGCCTACTGCGCGTGCGATTCACATCGCCCACAGAACAAATTTGAATATCGTTGGCAAAAAAATCGTAGCTAAACCTACTCGATGTCAACGCCCACAAACGAAAAGGTACCCAGGCCAGGCAGCCACCCAGACGCAGATAGCATCCTACGCACGATACTATGACATCGATTACTAAGAATTTCAAATAAATGTTTGTGTAATATTTACAATTGCTTTATATTACAAGGAAAATATCATTAACCTTTAGTCCTAAAGGTATCAGTAGAAAAACATAAAAAAGCACACACACGTTTTTCAATTTGAATCCCTGGTATTAGTCCTTATATATTGCTTTATGAATCTTTGATTATTTGTATTTAGGTCAAAGCTTTATTTTTTGACGAAGTTGTCAAACTTACAAATACAAGAAACTGCTACGCGGCCATTCAATTTGAGTTTAGACGGCCGGTGCATCGCATTTATTCTGGTACAAATTTTGCTCAATTATATCATCGTAGATAGGAGAAATTCACACTTAACTTTTCCGAACTATTTAGATTTTTTTCTATTATTTATTTAATCAAATATTATTTCAAATTTCGAGGTCGCTATCAATTATACCTACGACCGTATAATAGATAACAATTTCTTTTTATTATTTAATATGTACCAGTAGCTCAAAAAGTGCCATCCTGCGTTTTATAAAAAAGAAATCTCAACAATTTTGGGCTTCATTGCACAATTAACAACAAGCGAAGACGCTACGAACTATGCCAATACTTATTCTTGTACTATTCAACCATCCAAAATAATTAGTATATTTTTGATTCCGAGATCAAGAACGCCAAATAAGATCATTTTACTCAAAAATCACAGTCGAAACGTCATAGAGTTCTTAAGAAAAATGAGAACACTGCATAAATGTTTCTATCACCAGAACGTGAATTTCTGTATCCTATTCTTTAGCGGAGGATAGTACAATCAGTGTCCCCTGCCGTTTTGTCACGTGGCAGCGATTATATGTATGAATTTCCCTGGGTCAAAAATAAAGTATGAACAGAGTGCACCAACACACCAAAATCCATTGCCATTCCCACTAAGAATGCTAGATGAGATGAGCAATGGATCGGGCACATGTGGAGATTGTTTGACTTTCCCACCTGTCGACTATCATGTTTGAACATTATAATGGCATTGAAAATGTGAAAAAAAATTATATATATATAGTATACTAATGATAACATAATGCATTTCAGGCAGGAATCAAATTTCTTTGTTCTTCTAGACTTGTTTGGTTAGACCTATAGTTAGACTACATAAACCCTTAGCTGTCTGTGTGAATTTGGTAACAATATATAATTTTAATAACAACAGAGGTGAACTGAGTTCAATTGAATTTCTGTTAATGGGCCAAAATACTTTTTTATGCCTAAAAACCTGTCCCTTTGAACTAATGTTGAATTTTACGGTAAAACACTACAAAAGTGTAAAATAAGTATGCTAATTTCAAAATATTACATTATTGTTTAATACAGAACACAAGATTTGACCAGTAAAAATACATCATTATAACAAAAAATATAGTAACAATGTTGTCATTCTTAGTAACGCATTTGTTCTTCATACAAAATACAGTTGTCCTTGAGCACATGTCTCAACCTTCTCTGGATTTTTTCCACAATATTTCCTAGGTGGCGATTCATAATGAATTCCGCTTTAAAATTTTAAGCCCTAAACCTTATTTATAATGCCAATAAATATTTTTTACATCAAAAAATTATTGGAGTAAAAAATTATTTTGACTGTGTCCCTAACAAATACTAAAATCGTAACTACCTTGCGTTGCTATATGAAAATAAACCTTTAAGTGAGTGTATTACCCTTTTTTGCACCTTATTCGGCTTTACATATTGTAACTCGTATAACGAACGATGGCAACCGCGGGGGAAGAGGACGCTCGTCAGATCAGTCGCGTCGGAGTCGTCGGGAGAGGTGCGTGTATTTATTGCGTGGCCGCTGAGTTACCACTGTCGAAAGGTACGTATTGACAATATTTACATAATATTTGTTTTATATGTAGTTTGTCATGTATTGGATCTGTCAGTGTTAGAATATTTGCACTTTGTTATTTCATTTAGTTATTATATACAACATAGTCAAATATTTACAACTGCGATACTGCTACACTGCGTTACTTGAAAATGTAACGCAGTTGTTGCATTGGTAACGCAGTTGTGAATATTTGACTATGTTGTAAATAATCACTAAATGAAATACCAAAGTGCAGATATTCTAACACAGACAGTACAAAGACATGACTAACTACATATAAAAATAAATAATATATTTGTCAATGTTGGTGATACGTTATTTAAGCCTTAATTTTCATATATTGTTTCTTTTTTATCTTAGAGAAAAGATTCTGCGCTAAATGGCGTTAACAAACGCAGAAAAACAACGTCGCTATAGGCTTAAATTAAAACTAGACCCGGTGAGAAATGCTGAAGCTAAAAAAAACACCAAGAAAGGTACCATGCAAATAAAAAACTTGTCAAAGATATGACAGAGCGAGAATATAGAAGTGCTATGCGTAAATGGAAAACTGCAAATAAGAAACGTCGAGAACGACAAAAAACTGCTCAACAAATTATGGACATTACACCGACGTCGAGCCCGCGGTCAGGAACTCCAGTTTTACGGAGGTCTAGAGGCCGAAAACAAATAAGAAGAGATAGATCTGCAGTGTACAGAAATAATTTGAAATTGCAGGAAGAAATAGAAAAGTTGAAAAGAATATGTAGTAAATATAAAAAGAGATATCAAAAAGCTAAAACGTCAATCAAACACACGGAACAAGTAAATAAGCTTAACCAAAATAAGTTTTCAACATTATCCAATGCCATCAAAGACCATTACAGAAGTTTGAAGTCAATCAAAGAGAAACAATCATTAAAACAAATTTTCAAGGAGAATGCTATCTAACTCTAAAATAAAAATTGCTATTGTACGCGAGACGTTGGGAATTGATCTGATGAAAGTGATGAAACGACAGCAGAATACGTCAAAGAAAAATCTGGTTAATAGCATTAAAAGCTTTTTTGTTCGTGACGATGTTTCTAGAGCTACGGCTGGAAAACGGGAAACTGTCACTTGCAATAAAATTAAAATACAGAAGCGATATTTACTAGACACAATGAAAAACCTATTTCATTCTTTTAAAAAAGAAAATCCAGAATTGAGATGTTCTTATTCGTATTTCATTAAAAACAGGCCATTTTATATAAAGCCACCTTCAGTTTCTGGAAGAGAGATTTGGATATGCAAGATACATACTAATGCGCAGTATATTTTAGATGCTCTCTACAAAACCAGGGTTATCGCTCACCAAAACACTGAAGGAGTTAAGCAAGGTCCGTTTGTATTTAGTGACGGACAGTGACATACAAAACATTGAAAAAGCTCTACCTAAAAACCTTGTACCACTTCAAGGTACGATGTTAGTACATCAAGTTTTTACTGACACTCCCGGTGAACTTCAATATAGAGATCTCAGTTGCTTTTGCCAAAGAGGTTTTTGCTCATGCATGAGCCCAAAAACTTATCACCCTGTTCCTGCTCCCGTTATTGACACACTTACAGAAGGTATTCTCTTGGATGGATTGGATGAGGAAATAGTTCTCGATCATATTTTATATATAATTACCGTACCTAGAAGAACATTATACAATACGGTTTATTCCACACCTTCCAGCTCTGATGACGAGTTCTTAGCCAGCTATAGCCAACCATCAGTTTCTAATATAAAAGAAAGGCAATTAATTGAAAAGGAAAATATTCATCCTACAAAATATCACAATACAAAATATCAAAATATCAGACGGTGTCCATGTCTTAGTAAAAGTGTCTTCTGTTAAAGACAAACATTACACTTATCTAGGTGTTGCTAAAGTGAAGTTGATGAAGAAGGAGACGTCAAAATTATGTTTTACAAGACAGTAGATAAAACTGGTAAAAGGTTCAAAGCAGTAGATACTGATATTTCTTACGAACCTTACGATAATATCTTAGAAATTGTTCCTAATCCTAAAATTGTCGTAAAAGGTAAAAGGATATACTTTAATTATGATAAGCCATTAAACGTCTTTGAAAAGTAGGACTGATTTGAAAGTGTTCCATTAATTATTAAGGTTGACTTTTTGATTTTTATTTTTTGAGTTTTTATATTTATTTCATTGAAGATACTTTATTTTATATCGAGTCATAGGAAGTTATATTTTGTTATGTTTTTATCGTTATACTAGATCTCTATAGAAAGTACAAATATTGTATGTACAAGAATTGCATGTAAGAAAATAATACCGTGTTACTGGGCTTACTACTGCGTTACTTTTGTGTCCCTCAGATTTTTTATAGTATTTTCAATATATCTATGATTCTTATTATTTAACGTGCTTTAATTTCATACGTACGTATTACTCATCAAAATTGAAAGATTATGTTGTAAGTTGGTATTAATTTTAAGTTTTTATTTGTGATAAATAGTAAAGTTTATGTTATAAAATTAAATTTTGCTAACGCAGCAATCCAAAGTAATAGGGATACTCTATGAAACTGATAACTTCTGTGATTTAATTTTATAAGAAGTTAATTATAAGCGTTACAGTTTAAAACTGACACGTTGTGATTCTCTTTGTATAAGATTAATAAAAATTAAAAATAAATTCAAAATGTAACGCAGTTGTTTAATTTTCCGACACCTTCATATATTGTTGACCATAACTATAATTAACTCATTTAAACTAACGCTGCAGAGGTAGGTACATTATAAACCGAACTATAACGTATCTATATCTGCATATAAAAATAAGAATATTAATATTTTTATAAAAAAAAGAAATTTAAAATCGTATGTTTAGATTAGGCATTAAAAAGTATTTTAGCCCTAATATCATTACAGCAGTTTATACTTAATAGTACTATTGAATAATGATTACACATCGAAATTAGAATAACAAGATGTAATAAGAATTACAAGATTACTACAGACTTGAATATAATATGTGATGACATAAGACTACAAGAAGTGAGACTTGTAAACAACAAATTTTCATATTAATATAGTATTTAATTATGATGAATTAGTTTGCAGTATACTGATTACAAGAACTGTCATGAACATAATATAATAATAACTTTATTTACCAAAAAAAAAGACAATATGTTATTGCATGACTGCAAACCATATTGTCTTTTTTTTGGTGAAGTCCTTAAAAATGCAATTGTGTAGATCTGTGAGAACCTAAAATAGAAGGACCCTGTAACTTAAGAACCCACGAACTTCTGTTGACAAAAATAATACAATTATATGTAATTTCGCAATAGTACAGAAGGTCATATTACTTAAGCACTAACTTAATAGTAATAATATATATAAAATTCATAAAAGTTTACTTAATGGGATGAAGTAACTCTTGTCTCCTCATAATACAATGGGAGAAACCACTGTAAAAGTGTATTTTTAGCTGTCTATGTATTTAAAGGATATAAATTAATAAGTCTATTGACATAATTATATAGGAAATGACCCAGAAATGGTAGGAATCTATGGCTAAAGGATTTACGAAAAAGTCAACCCTTGACTATTTGTCTATTAGGGAATTCAATATCAGGATCAAATCAAAAATAATATTAATAATGACTTTATTAAGAGTAAGAAAATTTGGTAAGGTTTCAAAATAGCTTTTATTTCATAATTTTTGGAAATATGAGATTACAGTTGTGTGTCAGCTATCCACAGTTTGACTTTTTTTTATATGATCAAGATACAAGTCTAATAATTGTTCATTACAATGTCGCATCTCAAGTATCTCAAGAACAGCATTATTTCTATCAACATTTCTCATGTTACTGGTTCTTCGGAATACTACAGCAAGAGGTTTTTGAGTCTGATTACTCATACAAAAGTTGTAAAACAACTTATGTTCATAACTAAAAGAGCTTTTTATTCCATTTTTGAAGTATCTATAGAACAATTGATCTCCCCAGCAATTTAATTTCTCGACGTCACTCCATTCTTGAGGTGTCAAGTCGAATAACAATCCTATTATGTGACCTTTAGCTACACATATTATTTGCCCTGCTCGATCAGAAACTTTTAATGTTGCAGCCGAACACATTTCGCCAGTATTAATTTTATTAATCTTAACAGACTCCAGATAAAATTCTGTCAACAATCCCCATCTTTCATCATGCAATTTTAAATACCGGGCCTCGGTTAATTTAATTGGTTTCTCTTTAAAAAAGAAATCCCAATAGAGATTTTTCTTAGTTTGGAAACTGTTCATTTCATTACTTAAATGAAATAAATAAACAAATTCTAACTTCAATAAAATTTTTAGGTTACCAAAATATCAACATTCAACTTGTCAAAGTCAGTGTAGTAGTAGAACAGGCGAAGATAGGTTTGGGTAAAAACTATCGATATTTCAAATAATCGATATTTTTTCTGAATATAAATCAGTGTTTTTTTTTTTCAGATATCAAATTCATATCATTATCGATATATTTTTTAAAGTTCTGCTGTCTGCTCATACGTCTCATCATGTATTTCTTAATTTCAAAAAGAGTGGCTAGGCAGTAGACTGTATGAGTTTAGAAATTACAGTCTATGACCTGCTTGTCTATTTTTGTTTCTTTATGACAATGACACTGCTTGTTGGTTTGGTCGGTATCGGTGAGAGTGCTCGTGATATTAATATCAGACAAATACCGATTTGTTTGAATAATGTAATTTTTATTATGTTGAAGATGTTGTTTTCTTATCTTAATGTACCTATTGTAAATAACAAAACAGCCAGGTTTTTTTATTTGCTTCAAAATTTCGAATATTTTGTCAATTTTTATAGACAATAGCTTATTACGCAGAAAATATCGATATGTTAATATATTTTTCAAAATATTTATTGATTCATTTGAAAAATATCGATGTGATATATTTTGAATTTTTTCCCTTTCCCCTAGGCGAAGGAACTAAGCCATACAGCCAAATATTGAGTTTGACAAAATCAACTTTTATGTGGTTTTATCATAGACGTAGTACTAATATAACAGGACTGATAACTCTATAAAGTTTTATTAAAATTAATTTTAAATACTGTCTTTTAATTGTCTTCTACAGAATCTAATTCGAGCCGAAAGAAATAGTCACAACAGGGGCCGTATGTTTCATTATTTCATCTTGCATTTCATTATAAAAAATATTGTTAAAAACTAATATAACCTTAATTTATTTCAGTGATAACTATTTAAAAAATTTAAAGCATTAAATAATCACATTAATGTCTTTGATATTAAATTATTGAAAAAATTTCAAAGCTATTTATTTTCTTTTTTTCTACTTGTTTCCTTTTTAAGTCTCATGGCGTGACATATTCGATATAATTTATGCATTTCATTTGGTATTTTTAATTCGGTAGTTTCGTTATACATTTCAACAGTAAAAATCGTGAAAAGTGTTGCGTATTTATGTTTGTCTTATATTAGTGTTTTCATGATTTATCTTAATCATCATTAACTGTTTTTTATAATTATGTAAATGTACTAATTTTTATGGCATATTTTAGATAGTTGTAATTGGTACCATATATGTTAATTTATTGTAATTTTTACAAATTGATAATAATTGTATATTTTGATTAAATCTATGGATAGGATCAGGCCATGATATTTTTTGTCATACTTCAGCCCTCACTGAGTGGCCCAAGTACCTACTTCACGACAAAGTTTAAAATATCCAATGCCAATAATATTTGGTATCGAATGAAAAGTATCGAGTAGATACTTGTAATTACTCGTTTTGTGCATCCACAAGAAATATTGTTAATCAAAATTCAAATGTAATCTATTTTAAATCATAGAATAATAGGTAGTTAGGTAAACATAGAAAAATAATTAGGTAATACTCCTAAATTAAATAAGTTAAAAATCAACTGGAAAAAGTTGACAGATTGTTGACTCGATGTGCTGTCGACTGACTGTTCTTTGAGGTTATAATTTATTTATCTTTCGTAAAGTTACGTAAACTTCTATTTAAAATACTTATTTATCAGATATTTAATTGTCACATGCCATGAGAATTGGCTGGATTCAAAAAACTTTGAACAAATGGCCTGGCAAAAAGACTTTTGGAATGTATAGATTCCTTCCTTTGTTTTTTGTTCTTGGTGCAGCATTAGAATTTTCTATGATTAACTGGAGAGTCGGAGAAGTGAATTTTTATAATACATTCAAAAAACGAAGAGCTCACGACATAGTTGAAGAAAAAGTAAAGAAGTATTCTGCAGCTTAAAATGCCTGCTGGAGTGACATGGGGACATTATCTTACATATTCAGCAGCTGCTTTGGCTTCAATGTTAGCTGGATCACAGATTGTACATCAGCATTATAAGCCTTTGCAGAATTTGAATGAATATATTAACAATGAACTTAAAAATTTTCCAGATCATATACAAAAAAAAATTAGGAAGGAACTTCAAGAAGAAGGTGTATTAAAGTAACATTAACTTAATTTGTAGTATGTTTAGTTTTTAATGATTATTAAAAAAGTTAAGTGTATACTGTCATGTGTTATGATTTGTTTATTTTTTCATGCCTGAATTATTATTCTTCTCAATCATTTAAATGTTCTGTAAATAAACGGTCTTATTTTTTACTTCATCCCATAAAAGTGCAAAAATGTCAAAGACCCCGAAATAGTTATACATAATATATAAGTTTTGTATTAACACATTTTGAATCCATGGATAAAAAGGTATTAAATAAGAAAAAAAAAATGGTTTAAAAATATGTATGTTTATAAGTTTGGTAATTTTCTTACACATTAATATTTACACAAAATTTTTCATAGTAATCACACATATTTGCAATAAATTAACTTATGGCTACTTTTTATAAACATACAAAAGATTATTAAATTGTTGAAATTTAACAATATATAAAATTTTATTATGACCATTGTAACAATAACAATAAACATTTTGAACTATGAATATCTTATTTAAGTGAGAGAAATTTTAAATTTATTTGACAACAGCTTGCAACACAGTTGCATAGATTTTTTTCTAAGATTTACTTAAGTTATGTATGTATGTACTTACTATACCTTCAATTTATTCTTATAGTATTTGTACAACTCTGATTACTTACAATTGAAATAAGTAGTATAAAAAAAATTGTAGACTAATATTTTTGCCAAAATTATCATTATTGCAATTGATATTTTTTCTCATTTGTAGGTACATTTCTTATACTTAACTCTAAAAACTAAGAAATTAAAACCTCTAAAACCAATACAGTCTTTGAAAACATAAAATCATTAACTTGAGAGTGAAGGTCATCTTGGGTTGTTCAATATTGTTTGTTTGATCCAGTCAATCTGAGAGCTGATTGCATCATATATTCTAGGCCTTCCAAGACCTATTTTTGTGCAGGCTATTCTCCAACCGCTGACTCCTACTAATAACCAATGTTTAGTCTTTTGATCGAAACACATCATAGAACTGCCGGCATACTCTTCTTCCTGTAAAAGGTTTTTTAAGAATTCGCAATTAATAATTATTCAATATCTCACATTGCTTTTATCTAAAGTCAAGTCAAGATTCTAAGTTATCTCAGATCAGTGTTAGAGAAAAAAAGCTTTCTACATTGACTTGTGAATTAAGCATGAAATAAGATAAGGTGATACTGTAGAACAGTGGTTCCTAACCCAGATGTTTATTTGGTAGAGAAGTTTTGCTCTTTAAAGGCGACTCACATCATCTCGACGCACATCGAGATTTATCTACATACAAAAACAAATCGTCACAATAAAAAATAAATTACACAAAGTAAATACCTAGGAGTAATTGTTTTCCCACGACTTCGCTCGCTTAAATTATAAGCTATGAAACCCGCGTATGATGAAGCTTCTTCTAAGTAGATGAATTAATTTTAATTATCGGTTATCGGTATATAGTTTCGGAGCCTATACATACAATGCAACAAGCAATGAAATCTTTTTATAATATTATGATATCAGTTTTAGATGTCGCAAGTCAACGCAAAGACGGCGCAAGAGATCAGTTTTCCTAATAAATTATAGGGTTTAATCAAAAAAAGAGGAACCTCTGTTGTTTTCATTGAAGACTAGTTCGAAAGTAATGAGTAAGCATATCACAACGTATGCAGCTATACTTACGTCGCAGTCATCTTTGTCATAAAGTCTTTCAGAACAAATACCATTGACAGTGGCAATGCTGACGTTCTCGCACGTTTTCATGGGGTTAATGACAACGTGCACTCGCTGCAGCTGGTCCCGGTTACGAGTCCAGCTGAGGGTATTGCAAACCATATCATCGGAGCTTGTACTGTTCTCAGGCAGACACACTGGCCGCACAAAATCTGTCATCTCAACCGGTTTCTCCAAACGCACTAAAGATAGCATACTGCCTTCTACTGGCGAATTAATGATCTCCACGACCCGCTGCTCCTGCTGCCACGGTGTAGTGCTTTGTATTCTTACTGTGCCGAATCTTGCAGTCCATTCTATATTCGGTTGGCCCTAAATTAAAAGGGAAAAAAAATGTAATAAATCAATAATTGATTAAATTATTCAATTCATTAGGAACAGGTAATATAATTATTTATGTAAATAATCTACAACTGGTATTTTATATCCCCAAAATTTGAACAGTCATGAGGTGACACAAAACAAATATGCGCAGATAATATTAGTTATTCTTTATTTATTTACAGATACATTTACAATCTTGATATACACAATAGAGATGGTGACAAATTACAGATACATTTACAATAGAGATGGTGACAAATTTTTGTTTGTCTGTGTGTCCGGTAGATCATTGAAGAATATTAAACACTAATTTTTTTATTTTTTGCGTAATCAATAAATTACGGCGATGCATTGAGTTGAAATGTCGTTTAACGTCACACCTTTGTACATTTTCCACGTGGTTATGATGTAGCGAGCCTCCACACCTCGACTTTAATACCTAATTATCTACGTCCCTTCTTGTTGTTTTAATTCGAAACAAAAAAGTCGTATATAATATTCTTCTATTTACTGACTAACGGACTAAATAGAATATCTGTTTTTTTTTTGTGCCTATTAAATTCGCTAATATTATCGTCAAGTTCTGAAGTAAAATTGTGTATTGTAAATAAACAGTTGTGCCTCCTAACCTGGAAGCAGGATGCGGTGGTGATAAGCCAGCCGGGATGAAGTAGTGCTGCGTCGCACGCGTGCACGCCGGCGCGCAGTAACGCCGCGTGCCACGGCCAGTCGCCGGGCCGCGCCGCACGCGGCAGACCTTCCACACCGGACCGCGCACTCACTCCCCGTGCGGACGGAACACCGCATTCTAAAATATCCCCAAAGTTGCCAATTACGTAATGGCTCAGTAACACTGTTTACTGTGCCCTAGTCACTAATAATCAAATTGTGCAGTTACCCCGGTGGTGGCTCGCTCTCGATGGCCAGTCATTGTTCGTTTATTGACCACATTGAAATATGTTGTGTACCTAACTGAGCCATAATTAATATTCTTGAAAACAAAAGAGAATATGAGCTGAAATCTTAGATGCTTGTTTCTGGGAAGGAATCAACGCGCTTTTCAATAACAGATAGGGACCATTAATAGACACCGTAAATAAATTATTAATGAAATTACCTAACTGATCTTACCTAATTGATCGCAGACAATTTTGATGATTTTCCGTTCTGGACATTCGCTCTTGAGGAATGATATCTCCGGTGCGAATGGATCAACAACTTCAACGTATTCCGGGGTTTCGTCACCAAGCTCTTCTAAGTCTTGTGTAACTTCTACATTCGTCGCAACTCTATAAAAAAGGATATGGAATAATTAGTCTATGTAGCATTTTAATCAACGTGAAACGGAAAGAAGCATAGAACCGTAGCAAATGTTGTTTTCTAGTATCGCAGGCAAAGATCCGCTTCGAGTTTATACCTTAGTTCGTAAAAATCTCCATAGCTAGAAATAAAATACCTTTAATGATTTAGTAACTACATTGTCATATAGAAGTGTCGCAAAAAAAAAGTTAAGCTTATCATTGTCACAGATACACTTAATCTATTCACTGTGTAGTTTTGAGACTTAAATTAACCGAGGAGTGAAGCGTTTTCCTGATATAATTACTGAGAGGAGCTAGGAACTTTTAGATGTAATATATTGATAAATTAATTAATGTCATATTTGTTTTTTCTATAAATAGAGAATTATGTTTACTTGAAGCTCATAGCTCTACAGAGCGACGTAGCGACACTCTTGAGAGCTCGTTTGTCATTGTCGAAAGGTGTGGCGCATATCTTTCCGTCTCGGCCACGTTCGGACCACACAGCATACCCGGCTCGACTCCGCACCGCTCCAAGTGTCGTCTCGCCACGCTCCCGCCGCCACCACGCCAGGGAACGCGAGATCCATACTACAATTGAGACATCCCATGTTCTTTTAATTTTTTTCGTAAATTGATAAATAAGTCAATAAGTTATAGATAAAAGACAAGTTTAAGTTTGTAGAGTCTAATTGTAGGTATCATTCGTTTACAGACAATTGAATCCAAAGAACATTTCTTTTTATTTACACATTTCTGCAATACAAAAATATTTTACGGCTCTACCTACCTACCGTCAAGTATTTCTCGGATTTTGAAAGTTTCATAATTCCCGATTATGCTGATCATCATATTACCATAAAGCTTGTCATCATTGTACTCACAACAACCAGTCTCGTCGCTGCCGTCTGGACAATCGGGCGTGCCGTCGCAGCGCAAGTGTTGCGGCAAGCATCGCGTGTCTAGTGCACAGCGCAGGGCACCAGCACCAGCGGCAGCACAATGCGTGCAGCTGCGCTCGTCCTCTGCGCTGGCGCAGTCGGGCACGCCGTCGCACGACCGACGGGACAACGCCAGACGATTCAGCCCACCATGGCAATCTGGTCACGATTTTCAAATAGCAATAGCAATTCAGGGCCCTGGGCGAGTCACCCATTTGGTGCTTCACTTATTACACAAGATAAATTTTTGACCGTACAATAAATATTGAAGCCCAAAAAAATATTTACGTAAATTAACAAGCGAAAATGTTTCATAATTAGAATGTAAAGTTTGAAATAATAGAAGATAGCCAGTAAAAATATGCGTTGCAACAAAGAGCGTCTAGGCATTAAAATTTATTTCATTAACTTTCACAATCTCAAGTTGGTATGTAGACGCTAATTAATGCGTTGTAATTTTTATTTATTTCGAAATTGCATGAGCAGTGAAAACATTATTGTGTTAATTGCAATGTAAAAAATGACAACAAAAACGATGTTAAAAATCATCGTTAGCTAACGCAAAATTACAAAAAACATTAATTTAAGACAAAGTAATATTACTCGTATTAAATTGTTATATAACCAGAGTGTTCAATCCATTCCAAACCGATGAACATATGTAATTTCTTTTCTAATCAGTGTAATTTGCCTACTTTTGATTGAGCTTATTGCTGCTAAGCACCTATGTAATTAATTAATTAAGTAGGTACCAGGTTCAGGCATGCAAGAGCCAGGGCCGAAATACTCTGGGAAGTGAAGCGAGCAGTTGAATAGTGGCTTTAGGCGGTCAGGAAGCCGCGCCCCGCAGCCAGCGTGGAACGCGTGGCAGTACGCACGACACGGCTTCACTAGCCGCCCCTGTTCACAACGCGGCTGCAGCATTTGGCAAACAAAATCCTGTGAAATTAATGCAAATCGCAGTTACCTCGCAAATATTCTTACTGAATGCACGTTTTACTCTAATATTTTTAAAATCAGTCCAATAATTTTGGAGCCTATCTCCTATCAGCCTATCAAATCTTTATAATATTAGTATAGATAATAAATTCAATAATAATGTTTAAACTTTCATATAATTCCTTTGATTCAATCCAGATTATAGACTACTAATCATTAATCAGGATTACTACACACAAGAGCTTCAAAAAGATGTTAGTTTATTTACTTACTTGTGCAAGATGAGAACATTCGGCATCTAGCAACTCCCTAAATGCTACGAGATCTTTCAAGATGGCATCTTTAGACGTATGTCCTACGAGATTAGGATATGTGGTAGAATTGTAGGGTAGATATGAACAAAGGGATAAGGTGCGTGGGTAGCACTTGCTGAATTCCTCCACCTCCAGGGTGATCGCTTCCGTGGTGGCCGCGTCTTCTAAAGTAGTTTCACTGTCATCAGATTCTAAAGATGATATCATGGAGCTTTCCTGGAATTTTATATTTTCATTTTATAAAACTTTATTATCAGTGCAGATATTTTTTCCTCTGGTTAAGTATGGTTTATCTATAACACTTATTTACGTAGACTTATTTTTATCGTTTATTGAAGTTTTCATTCTTATTTAACAGTAATAAATAAACTGTAGGTATATTGAAAAAAACACACACAAACATACAGACGTCTATTTTTATTTTTTAACAGGTTAAAAAAGATAAAAAAATAAATGTGATTCACCCTGTAACGAACATAACATTGATGTGTTTTCTGCCAATATTATTTACTCTTACCTCTATATGCAGGGTTTCTGGAAAGATATTGATATTGTTGAAGAAGCGCGGCGAGCTGAGCTCGTGCTCCAAGATGGAAGCCACCTCACTGGTCGCAACTGCAGTGAAAATAGGCTCGAATGACACTTCGAAATGGACCCGTTCTCCTTTTTCAACACTGAGAAGTAGACAAAATAATTTTTAGATAGATATAGTCTATCGTTTTGAAAATGTAAAAAATAGTTAAAAAAATAGCAATGCTATATTTTTACGAATTTGAAAAAAGAAGGAAGTTCTTAATTTAAATTCATTATCAATCTGCATAATTTTAGGATCAATTATTATGATCCTTTGATTAAATATTTATTTATTTATTAATATACCTACTAATACAGTAGTGATTTACGACCTAAATTTAATGTGGGCATGATGCATTTGAAACACACACCCAAAATAATACCGTCACTGGCTCTTTAATTATTGATCGCACGGAAATCTATCATAAGCAGTTATAGCTAAGCATGTTTGGATTTACTCACTAAATAATGTTGCTACAAACATAGTTACGGATTAATCGATCTGCGTGAAAAATGCGTGAAATCGATTTTGAAGTCATTATTATGTAGTTACGCTTTTATCGTAACCATAAACAATACTTTTTAGTAAAACAAATTAGTATTCATTGATATTTAAACTAAAAATAAACTGTTTCTAAGACTTTATCCCCGTAAATCATAGCCAATATCACTCGTGTATGATATGATGCAGCTGTAGGTGAAAGAATATTTAAAGTTTGTCCAGTCCTAGTTCGGAACATATATAATGAAATCCATACTAATATAATAAAGACGAAAGATTTGATTGTCTGATAGGCGGGTGACATCGGTTATAATTTACACGGATGTAGTAGTGGGAAAACAGCTCCTAATTTATAATTTAGATTTTCTTAAAATGATTATACGTTTTAGAAATGATTTAATACAAATATGGATTCACGAATTCTTTTGATACCTACTTGTATGCACTGCATTTTGTATTCAGTTCGTAAATAGAAAACACAGAGTCGAGATCAAACCTCCAATATGCATGAAGTTCAATCGGTGTCGCACGGACCACATAGAAAGTGACAAACTTCGAAACAACATTCGTATTATTGAACTTTCTCGTGTTTCATATTACTTTATAACGTTCTATACTAGTATGGCATACTAAACGTGCGTGTTGTTTTGCCAACGCATTTATTGCTCTACTTTTGAGTACATAATCCGGGTAACTAAGTAGTTTAAGGTGGGCTGTCTTCGCTAAAATTGTAGAAGAGAGTTCTAGGATCTAGGAACTATCTTTATTTGTTAACGTCGAGGAAATGTCTTTGACACTATTCCTGTCACTTGACAAGCAACAGGATGTGTGTGGGACATACCTCCGTGAAGCCACTGGACAGTGAGCTGCCCAATGGGTTCCCGGAGGCTCACCCACCAAAATCTTTACGGTGCACCCTCTCGTGGGAGATGAGACCCAGAAAGCCGGGGGAGAGTCATCAGGACACTCATCTCCCATTTTGGACCATTGGTCAACTCGCTGTTCTCTTACCGTCTCTCCAAGCGCGGGAGTATCGAGAGTCTCTCCCAGACATGCGAGGTTGTGCAACCTAGAAACTACCCTAATAATGCGATGATATGATATACTTACCCTAAATAGAATCATAACGTAGCGCTAAATTACCAATAATCATAGAGTAAAAATAAAACAAGGAGATGAATAACATAATAAAATGTCCAATAACCATTTAATTTGACCATAATAACCACGTTTCTTTCTTTAGTGTTACAAAAATATACTTTTAATTGAAATGTATGAACGTAGCATCGTGGTTTCGCATAACGAATGTGACCAAACGGATTAGTAATGGTTGTAAGATATCGAAAATTAGTTACCATAGCAAAGTGCTTTTGAACTCTACACTTGCGTGAGTGGGTATTGGACACAAAAACTGTTATAACGGCTTTGATTACACTCTAATTTGTAAACTTTCCCCAATTGTAAGAGGTTAATATGAGTGTATATTATTATAATAATGTACTCATGAGTCTGTCAAACGCCTAAGGTTATAAATGGATATCTCACGGATAGGTATTTTCTAGATATTGCCTATTTAAAAAAATAGTATAAAAGCTCAGTAATAAAATTCAAAGGTTAGAAAAACAAGTTTCAATTTTGATACAATAGTATTTTGCAATATCATAAACGATTTGCATTCAAAATATTTTGACATGGACACATAAAATACTTAGAATTGAAAATGTTATTGGTAACAAATGCAACTAGAACTGCATCAGCATATCGTGCACGTCGGATCACGGTGACTGACGGGACAAATCGAGAAAGCGAACTTTCTCGAGCTTAAGACCATATACTATTTAATGTAAACATTAGTGAGGTAGGTATTAAGTTCGGACAAATGCAGCGTACGTACGCTTGAATCGCCTACCTAATTCCTCATGTTTGGCACTAACATTTTCAGAACTTCTCTACATATAATTAAATTTCGTTGGTTTATCTGCAAACAAATATTTTTAAATGTTAAATAATAATAGATTGGTTAAATTTACATAAAAAAATTATCATAAAAAAGTATTTACTGAATGAAGAATTTAAAATAAATTTTGAAGTAGGTATATAAAAACGCTGGTAGGTATCTAAAAGTACCAAATCTAATTTATCATGTTTTTTCAGAGAAAAGTATGAACTGAATGATAGATCACTTATTTATTACATTACTATCGTGTGTTAAACGCTTTTTATTTTAATGCGATAAGTAAGGTACTTCCTTATTGCCATAAATGTGCTAACTGCATTCATATATAAATTTATTTTCACGCTACAAATAGTTTTTGTTTTGAAATGAGAGCTATATTTACGTAATCTTGATTGTGGTAACCCACAACTGTTACTCTTGCGTAGCGCTAGATTATAACAATACACTAACTGCAGATCAATCTGAAGAGGAAATCAGAATTAATAAGATGAACCCACTACAGAGGATAAGAATAGACTTCATTGCTGACTCACAGGTTAACACATACGACATAAAACGAACACAAATCCGGAGAAAGAAATAATAAAAGGAAAGACAGAAAGAAAAGAAAAGGAGGAAATGTGACTTAGTAAAGACATGTAATTAAAATTATTGTCGCTACAAAAGTGTATTTGCTTAATACCACAAATTATACTTTTATCTAGATATGTTTATCGATAGACACACAATTTTCATATAATTTGTACCACAAAATACCCATGTGTCAATCAAATGATTTATAGCTATAGCTTTGATTCTAAAAAGTTAATAAATGCTTTTTTAGTAAGTCGCTTTATTGTCTCAAAATAGAGATAAATGATGGACTAAAACGCAGCATTCTTTAGTAGTCACTTAGCAAGGGTGCATGATACTTTAATAAAGCAACCGTTTGATCCAATGAATTCGAAAATAAAGTAGGAATCGGAATGAAAACGTGATTTGTGTATTCTAAATAAGTTTATATTTAATTTACGTTAAGATTTTATAACAAAGAATTTTCATATATTTATTTATTTATTAGGACAACACAAAACATACACATATTCAATATTAGTTACAAATCACACGTGGCTTATGTAAATGTGTTGTTTTATTTACAAGCTGCCATGGCTAAGTTAATGGCATAGGAAACAGTAATAACTAGAAACCATAGATATTGATGCCAACTCCGCTTTGCCACTCTCTAAATTGTTCACAAAATTCCTAATTTTAATTTAGGTTCCATTCCATCGCTACTACGCAGTCAAGTGCAAACAATGATACCTAATTACCCTCCTGTATACTATAATATGATAAGTATATCTCCGATGTTTTACTTGACAACACAGTTTGAAAGTATCAAAACCATATTAGTCTAGTCTAAACTGTACAACAGAATTGCCACCATTACAATTCTATAAATTACACTACAACAAAAAGAATCCAGTCCAAAAGGATTGGATGGCTTGTATTATTTAAATCTAATAGAGGAATCAGTGAATAGTGCTAACGAAGTTTTAGAAACGCAATTAATTTTACGACTTTTCTCCACCGACATGGCTCACTTGCCAGTTAACCTACATTTACTGTGTATTTCAACTATCTTTGTGTAAAGTTTCAGCATCGCTGCACAGAACTGTCACTTTAGTTACATCTTAAAACTTTAAAATCAGAGTCATATTAAAGTTACTGAGAATTGTTCTTTGAGACTTTTCAATTTCAATGTCAAGTACAGGTTGAAGACAATGTTTCAAGCTGAATAAGTAGGTATTTAAATAGAACCAGTTTTACCATACTGGTGTTCTGATACGAAATCATATGCTATTTATGCTACAGTTGTACCGCTAACGTTGGACTGATTAAAAACGACTTTATGTACTGTAAAACGTCGATTGACTAATAGAGATTCTTTGAAATACGAGTATTACCTATCCCACACACAACGCTTAAATCGTTTTAAAATTTAATTAGTGTGCGGTAGATGTTCATACATACTAATATTTATAAATGAGAAAGTATGTTAGTTTGTTCTTCTTTTATCTTTTTATTTTATTTGTGAAAATAGTTTTATGTCGAAAAACATCTCTTTTCAACGCGAGTGAAACCGCGGTTAAGACTAGTTATAGAAAAACTTAACATATCTACCTATGTGGATCGTTCTTCAACGACTTGTATTATATAAGGAGCTCAATGTTAAATGGGGATTACACAAAAGTGCCTTATTAAATAAATGAATGCCGCTTTATCATTTGTGCTAAACAAGAAACTACTTATTAATTTATCAGCAAGACATCCATTGTGCCATTGTACCTATAAATAATAAACTTCACTCTATTACCTAAAGGTGAAATAAATCCACATCATCTAAAGAAATAATAAATATCAGTCTTTAGGATTTTGTGTAATAACTAACCGTAGTAACAATTAGTAACCTTACTTTACGTATAACTATTTAGAGCAGATGGTTAAAGATGAATCATTGTGTGGCATATTCAAAGAAATAAATCATATGTAACTCTTTATTTGCAACTTGATTGATTTAAATATTACCAACCTGTCTAATGCCAGTATTTCAGCGGCGACAAAACAGGATCTCAGTTCGGTATTTTGATATAAATTGAGAAACGATTGCTGCAATACTGCCTCCCGAGTGATGTTTCCCTGTATCGCTTCGTTTTGTGGCCACGATGCTACCACAAACGAACCTCGGAACGTCTGACGATTCAATGGGTCGCCAAACAAATATAAATCTGGAAAGAATAACTAACATTACAATTTAAATAATATGATATTTTACTTTTTTTGGTGAAAATAAATCTTTTTTTTTAATAAAACACCGAAGATATTTATTATCAGAACAGTAACTTTTGAGAAAATTGTGAATGATTTCATTTTCTACGTTAATCCAACCGGGAATCGAGCCCGTGTCTTTGAAACCGGTGTGCGTGCGATATAATGAACAGAGTTTGTTTCAAGGACTCTCCCACTAACAATCTTTAAATCTACACTACACTCTTCGACATGTACATACTACTTTTTGTTCTCATGAAACTATTTGTTTTCGAAAAGATTAATGAATACTATTTAAGATTACAATCAGTTTCGGCACAACGTGCAATTAAATATCGTAAGAACCACGATTGTAACTTTAATTCAGTTTTGTCAATCATGAATTGTAATAAAACAGGTCGGAATGCTCAGAGTGATTTGTAATGCAATAATAATAATTGAAAATTCTACGCTAACATTATATTACACATTATAATTAGCTCTCGTTATTATTTAAAAGTTTACTTTTATATAATTAGATTATTTATATTGAAACGAGGAATTGTCATAGGTCAATTGGCAAAGTAAATTAACTTTTTGATATACATAGTCTTTTATTAATTTGGTCTATTAATTAGTTAATGATATAAATTATAATACGAGATACAATCTAAATAAACTTAGATATTTATCCGAGCACCTGTCGCAGTCGCATAAGTGCAGTCAACAATTTACAAGGTCGCTAAGCCGCCGGCCTTTGGTGGTGACGGGCTAAACCAAAGCCTCCTCAGTCCAGCCTACGCGGTTCACCTGTCCCAATGTTTACCAATACAAAGAAATAACAGTTAAACCTTGACTCGGGAGATACTTTATCAAAATCAATCAACCAATATTGTGAAAATGACCTTAGTTATTTATTAACAAAGTAAAGAATAAAACAGACGAAATAAATTAAAGTCAATCTTTGTGTTCTGTTTTCAAAATGTTTACAACAAAGTCAGGTATCATATCAGAGGTATCATATCAGTAGAATTACTATGTATATGCGAAATCTGTTTTTTACCGACTACAAAATTAAAAAGGTGAAAGTCATATATTCGACGGGTATATATTTCTTACGTAAAATATAGGCGCTCTGACGCTTTCTGACTCTTTCCGTTTCGAACTTAAAAATCTAACAAATAAATGGCAAATTAAAACAATGGGATCGAAGACACTCACGAACATAGACGTTATCTATTACAGGCTATAGACTATTTCTCGTATCAAAAATTGTCTATTGAATAAATAATAAAATTATGAATCCGTGTTTAGACTATAAATTAGATCTCAGCATGTGCGCGGTAATTGTGTTATTGCTAACGAGCTCCCCATAAATTTATCTGGTTCTGTCCGGGATTGCGAAGATTAAACGGCTTTCGGACTGCGATGAAGATAGAATTGTTGACCAAAAATTTTATTTCGACGTCTGCCAGGATTATCAAGATCGTTGAGCATCGACCAATCCACATTGGACTTGCGGGGTATATTCATAGCACGTGTTATGCCAGATCACTCGGAATATAAATAAACTGATGATAATGATATTTACGTGCGAGGTAAACAGCAACAGCAGCCAGCAAAAGCAATACGAGGAGGGAAGCGAGCGCAGCGCAACATCCTCTGCAGGGCCTGCTCAGTTTGCGTCTCGTGAACCTGATGTCACTGCTCACTGACATAGTAGACTCTGGCGGTCGATGTCTTGCGCATCGCCGCCCACTGTGCGACCATCCATAGCCGAGCTGCGGAAAAGATAAAATTTAAACTATTGTAACGGTTTCGGTTTTTGACATCATCGACGTCGATCTCTTTATTCGCATCGCCCATATTCATACTTTTTTCTTTTGAATTTCGAACAGTCTTGAATTCTTGTCAAAATATTTTTGTTATCAGTTAATCCTGAGCATAGAGTAAGGTATCTAAATAAAGATCATAAAATCTTCAAAGTGCAGTGCTGAAAACAATAACCTAATGATCGTCAGGGTCAGGGTTAGTTAAAAATATGTTTTTAATATAACGCCAACAAATAATCTGTTTCCTTTTTATTACTATTTAGAATCTGTCTTCTTTCTACACTTAAGTAAATCAACATTTCAAGCTTATTAAAACAAAACTGAGTCCAAAGTTAATATCATTTGTTGAAACCTAGTTTATTAAAATATACATTTACGTTTTTGCCGCATACATACGTTAAAAGCGAAAGTTAATATAATTGGTAGAATAAATGTTAATTACATATTGTTTTTACTTCTGAACAACAGTACTCTAATTTTAACTCTGAAGTCAAGTACAGATAATATAAAAACTCGTAAAAATAATGAGTGCTGATTCATTACGTGAATTTCATGCCTGCCAACAGGCTGCCACTCATCCATCACTAATGGCAGCGCGACGAAGATAAAATGGCAGTTGTAGAGTGATCTTTACTCCTTTTATTGTAAGCACCACATCAACATGAAATCATCGTAGAAGAAATTACGTAAATTTTTGACACGTCATTACACAAAGTAAGACATGCAAAAAAGTGTTTGAGAGTATTGTGAAGTTAGGTAATTTTTGTGGTTGTTCACTTGCTTTGACTTTGCATAATTCTAGTCTTTTGCTAGTAATCTAATATATACGTTAGCGCGTTTAGTTTGTAGGGGTTAAACAATTTATGCAAAAGCTAATTATACAATGGATGCCCTATAGCGTGGGGTCTATTGGTCCAGTCCCGGCTTTGTTAATGGTTTAATGAATTATAATTATATATATAACGGCATAATGAATTATAGCACATTTTCCCATGCACTTAATTCTATCAATTGATACTTGTATCAATATATCAAAATGTTAAGAAGTTTGTTAAGAAGTTTTAATCAAAAGGTAGCGATATTATTATTTAATAAATTAGCATCGCCGTGAGTAACTTTAAAAATATACCTACTTAAATAACGCCATCAAATAGTCAAAGAAATCAAACTCCAAACTACGAGTATAAACCCGAATAATCATTCAAGCATACTAAAACGGTGTTTCCTGGTCATTACTGCCGACATTCAGTAGTTTACTGGGTTTCTGCGGTTAAACTCTTATGTACAGTCAACAGCACGTATGGCCTAACGTCCCAAAATTCTCCAATACAACTTATACACCTTATTTTAAATTTACAGAACAGTAGTTTGCATGATACTTGAATATGTCATTGAAGCGTTTATTCGATCTTATCAAAGGTCAAATGGATTTGCACTAGATTTTTCTTGTTACCTATGTATATAATTGCTTCCGTAAGCTACAATGACTCTTTTCCTCTGCCACCATCATACGGAGCACGTATCAGTTGATACTCTAATAGTTCGAGATAAACAATTGACTATGTGGAATATATGACAAAAATTTATAAGGAATTCACTTATAAATAATTCAAAAATCTAAACCTATCTTTATATTGGATCCCTTCCGGGAAAGGCGGACCGGGCGCTACAAGGCTTACATACATTCTCTTTACATACATGTTTGACCACCTCAACACGAAGTCGATACTCTTTTCATATACGCTCACTAGTTTTTATGGTTCCTGACATCACCTACCAAGTACGCGATTTATTTTATCGTGAACGGTGTCTTGGCCTTCTTCAGCTTCTACATCTTTCCACTTTCGCGTTGTATATCAGTTTTGTCAATTATTACTTAAAATTGCGTAATTTACAGGTTGTCTTTTCAATGAATTGTCTGTGCAGTTTGTTATGCTGTTTATTATTTTATCTTCAGTCATAACATACATATTTAAATTTACAGGAGTTACAGTCATAACATGTTATGTATTTTATCGTGATATTATAAACACGATCTCTTTTTTCTCACACTTTTAAGTTTATATGTGACATTTCAAGAGGATTTTTATTAATGACTTAAAATATAATTTTGTCGCTTTCTAAATTATACAAATAAACTGTCTTTATTGAAAATGAATAAAATAATAAAGATTGAGCTAACTATTGTTCAATCTTTTATGTTTCAAATGGCAATGGTTTGTATTTTGTAGACGCCGAGTTTCAAACTAGCAATTATTCTGTGGAACATTATGGTCGTGATATTTTCGTAGCGTGTTGAAATAGTTTCTTTATCGGAACCGAACAGCTAATACCAATCTTTGAAAAGCTAAGTTGCGTCAACGGAGTCCAGTGCTCTGCTATGTGTAAGTGTATTCACCGACTAATGTCAGATCAGATAATGTAGGTACTGAACTGTACAATCTCTTGGCTATTCTATTGTTATGGAAGTCATCACCATTAAATAATATAAATAATCAAGTGAAATCAAGTAGGAAATGAAAAATTCAATGAAATAACAAATTAACTTCACTTGGTAAATTTATTTGATCATTAATTACATTAAATTTAGTTGAGCTAAATATAGAAGACTCTTAGTAATTGAATGCTTTTATATTTCTACGTAGGTATTGCATATTGTTGAAGAAACTAGCCTTTTAGTGATAGATTACAAAACTTTGCCTAGAGCCGTATGTGGTTGTTTATAAAGCTGTCTACCATAAACGTTAAAGTTACAAAACAACGTTAGGAATAGCGCAAATTATCGTGAAATCGGATAATATTGTGGTACATAAACCTGACCAAGCCCAAAAGCGTGACATACCTGACATTTGAGCAAAACTAGAGAACAAAGAGATATCGCTGAGACAATATTTTGGTGTTTAATATTGCGTTCTCATTGGTCGAATGTACAAGGTCAATGTAACATGAAGCCTTCCTGTGGTTATATTATATATGTAGCGTACTTGAAAAAATAAACCAAGTAATTCTATACTAACCAGAAATATTTTAGTATGTAATTGATTATATCTGATTAGAGATAATGAATGGGTAAAGAAATCAAATCTATTTAGCCGCTAGTCAGATAATAAAAAATATGAGGTGCGCATTCTATGCTTAAATTTAAAAAGAAATGTATTAGATAATAGGCATTGGAGTTAAGGAGTAGGGGCTCGTTACGACACAACTATGTAGAAAATGTACAAAGATGTGACATCACACGACATTTTATCGTAATATATCACTGTAACTTTTTAGTTGCGCAAAAAATTAAAAAAATACGTTTTTATACTCTAAAATAGTCTACGGTACGGTATTTAAAAATTAGTTATTATCCCCATTATCAATAATTCCTTGTTTAAAATTTAACGAATTAAAAACACGTCAATTCTTTAAGACGAAGAAGAAAAATTGATGCAATGTCATTTATGTGCAATTTGAACTGGAAATCATCCAATCTAAATGTAAGTTAAGCATGAACGGATGATAATATAAATACTAATTTACAACGATCGATCATCAATAGCGTTTCTGTAACGGTTACGTTTCGATTTTTGCTGTAAATTTGCATTCCGCTAACGTAAATTATCAAACGAACGTTTACTAAACTGAAACGTAATCGGAGCCAAATCGCAGCCGAACCAAACAGGTGTCATTAGTGTTACCAGAATAAAATAAATAAAATTATTAGTTAAACGGGAGACGATTAATGATTATTCATTCCTTCATTTTTTTATCATTTCTGTACGTAATGAATCTATTATATTCTTATTCGAACGTTTTAAAATACGGACGAAACACCCGAATATTAGCTACATTAAGAAAGTGCATACCTAAGTGTTAAGCTATAAGGGAAAATACCCGAACCGCGAATTTATAATTAATATTTTTATCATTATGGGTATTTGACACTATAAAAATAAGTTTCGTACTATTATCATCATGTTAGATAATAATCTAATAAAAGTTTATTTCTTAGAATCTGTAGATTTAAACAATTATATTCATCGAAAATAGAACAGATTCTCATGTAATATATTGACAGTGTGTTTATAATGTATCAAACAACTATTTTAATTAATTAGTTTTCAGAAAATCGTCATATACCCAATTCTAACTTTTATTAAGCACTCAACTTTAAACATGCTTAATATTTAAAGCATAAATCCGATATAATTAAGTCTTTTAATTAACAAAAAAGTCAGATGAAATACTATTAATCCTGGCGTCGACTAAAGATAACGTCAAGCTTAAAGAGTTAAGTTTCAAAATTCGAATGGTGTTGGTTTATTTTATTGTTTATACCGAGTTTTAATTCGCAAAATAAATGTTATTATGTGAGATAAAGTAGCATGAAAGTGAATAATATGATTCCGTAAAATAAAACGGTACCTACATAGGTAGGTCGTGAACAGAAAAGTTTTGTCTCATTTTCGGTCACTAACAAACTGTAATAAGTGAGGTATGCAATCAGTCCAAGACTAGGACGAGCATTAATCCAGAGGTGTATACTTTACTTTAAACAACTCCGTTTCAAAAGAATGTACAACAAAAATAATCATTAAATTTATATATTTGTTTGTACTAAAAATTAAATGTTAAAGTTAAATGATGATTGCATATGACTTTAGTAACTTCAATCCATTTAAACAGAATTCATTAAACTTCATTGAATATCATCGGACTTCATCAAACTACATGGATAGTTCATATTGTGACTTTATGGGACTTCATTAGGTTTTCATATAACATTTCCAATTACGGGCATTGGAAATTACAGTATAATAATAATATATATATATAGTTATTTATTTGAGCATTGTTGAATCAACAACCGTAGTAGTCCGTAAAACTTAGGAAAAATGCAAAATTGCACCAAAATTAACTAAAAGTACATAATAAAGTTTTTTTTATTCAATAAATGTTACTGC